GGAGGGTTTTCAATTGCTTCACACGGTGAAGGTGTTGTCGACGTGATAGAAGATTATGAGAATCTTCAAATTTTGAAGCAACATGGTTCCCTTATGTATGTAGCTTGTGCAACAGCAGTTCAGGACCAAATGCCAGTGGACGGCAAAGCAGCGGAACAAATAGTCACCGTGGATTTCTTGCACAAGTACATCAGGCTTGGGGAAAGCTATAATGTACTCTCAGATAGATTAGTCGCATCGGTTTGCACTAAATGTTGCCGTTACTTGCATCGAAAGGTCTTCGGGAAGTCGCATCGGTTTCATGATTCCATGCTGTTTTGAGAACATGCGACATGCAAATGATCTAGCTAACCTTTCTTTCAATGCTACTGGGGCCTCGCTTTAAGTCGTATCAACTGGAGGAAAGTCGTATCAAAATGGTGTGCCCTTGGGGATTGGCTTTTCTATGGATGTTTGTTGTTGTTCTATTTGTTCTACGAACTGATGTTAATGTGCTGTGCCCATGCGTTGCTTGCTTGTGTGATAGATTAGATTCAACAACCTTGTTGCATCATTGCATCGTGTTTTTTCAACAGACAGCGTGAGCTATTAGGGTTCTTACTTCAAGGAGCTGCGTGTGTGCGTTTTCGAGCGTGGGTGCTGGTGCCGCTGAAGGGTGCCGCTGTTGTTCCAGTGTAGGAAGAGCTGCGTGTTTGCGTGCTCGAGCTTGGGCGCTGGTGCCGCCGCAGGGTGTGCTGGGGAGCTTGGGTGCTGGCGCGTTGCAGAGTGCCGCTGCTGTGTGCGCTTGAGAGCTTGGGTGCTGGTGCCGCTGCAGGGTGCTGCTGTGTGCACTTTGGATCTTAGGCATGTGGCCATGTGCACTTTGGAGCTTGGGTGCTTCTGGGCTTGGCATGGTGCTTGGGCATGTGGCTGTGGTTGTGGTTGTGGTTGTTGTTGTTGTTTGTTGTTGTTGTTGTTGTTGGTTGTTGGTTGTCGTTGTCGTTGTCGTTGTCGTTGTCGTTGTCGTTGGCGTTGCCGTTGCCGTTGCCGTTGCCGTTGCCGTTGTCGTTGTCGTTGTCGTTGTCGTTGTCGTTGTTGTTGTTGTTGTTGTGGTTGTTGTTGTTGTTGTGTTGGTGGTGGTGGTAGCTGCTGTTGCTGCTGCTGGTGTGCTGCTGGTGTAAATGCCTGCTGCTGCTGCTTCCGCAAAGGAAATGGAATAATTTCGTATAAAACCAAACCATGTTTCAAACACTAAAGCGCCTTGTAAACAGGAACCTGATGTGACCCTGATGTGACCCCGTCGCATCGGGCCCCCCCTTGCAGATTAACAGTTTTCCAGTCACCTGATGTGACTAATATTGTTGACAGTATCATACGTATATAGAGATGCAAAATCAACCACTTTCCGGGAAAACAGGCATACTATTCAGCCAGCAAGCAACTGAGATAGATCCCAACACAAAAAGCCGGCCTGGTTTGCATGACTTTGAGCTTGTCACATGGCTTATCATGTTATTCTTTTGGCATGTCCACAGCCAATTCAACAAAGCTTTGAGTCACAGGCAGACAAGTGTTCACATTCCGAAGACAAACAGCATCACTATGAAATAACCAACCCATTTGATGAGATTAATTCGTGTGAATAACCTGATGCCAGCGAGGTTCGCCAAGCGGCGTACACCGGTGTTGAACGATGAGGCTAGCAAGGCTGTCACAGAGAAATACGTGGAGATGAGGCCGCGTTGCGATGACAACGACCTGGGTTGTGGTCAGCAGTTTCTCCGGTTTGGTCGCTATTGGACGAGTCGCTTGGTGACTTTACATAGGGGTTTGAATCAAAGGTTGTGCAAGCAGCGTTGGTGTTGCGTGGTATGCGTCCACGAGCGTTTCACTCAAATCCTAGCCAGAGGATGGTTTGCGCCAGGATGCGTTTCCAGAGTGGCTTCGCAGATCTCAGCGCAGCAGACAAGGGGGAGAGGAAGCCAAGGCCCATCCATACAGTGGGTCCTTTGCAGCAGTGCCTACCTTTCAATTTTCCCAACTCTCAATTCAGCACCTTGCCTTTTGTCCCCAGGCTGGCGGTCACAACGAGAACACTGGAGGCACCTACTGAGACTGGTTGGAGTACTTGTTGCTAGTAGCTTCTTGCTACTAGTAGTAATGCCAGGAGCTAGTAGTAGCTTCTTGCTCCTAGTAGCGATGTCCTTTGTTACTATTTGTATCTATTTGTTGCTAGTAGCTTCTTGCTACTGGTTGCTTTGGGCCAGTTCGCCGCTCTTGGTCTGAAGCCGGTCCGAAGCCTTGGTCTTTCCATCGATCCAGTCTTTCCTCCGGATCCTCGTAGACGGACAGTCGGACAGTCGGAGGACATCCACGGAGAGGCACGACGGCCACACGGGAGGCCTTGATCCGCTTGGCCACAGCCCATGCAAAGCTGAAGCTCCGCGGGGATGCTGAGGAAGACACACGGAGCTGTGTTTGTATTTGTATTCAGCGTGCACGTCAGTTCTGGTGGGAAGTTCGACTTGAGTGAATCCCCCCGAATCACACCCCGAGAGTGCCTCGGAATCGCACCGAATTGAATGTTTGAAAGCTTGACAAATCATACTGCCCATTCAAGTTTGAAATCACTTCCCAGGTCCAAGAGTCCGACTGCAGTACAACCCAAAAAAAAAGAAAGAAAAACCTACATTGTACCTTTTTGTTTGTTCATATTTGGTCCTCCAATCGTGCCTCACGCCGTTAAGACAAAGCCCTCGACACTCTGTTTGACAGCCAACGAGCTGTACTGCCAGTACCTAAAGGAACGCCGGAAGGATGAATAAAAGCGAAAGCTCCTGAACATAAACCTAAATTATCCTAAATGTATTTAAACAAGTGCAAGAAAAGGCAGGCGAGCTCGGCACAGGAAACAGACTCAGAAGCTCCAGGACACTACTAGTATGTTGCACCATGCCTAGTTGACGTAATCATCTCGTGATTTAGACCCATGCGTGAAGGGCCAGCAGTCACGCTCGAATTGCCCACGGCCACATAATTATGGGATGGGAGTCTCTCGGAATTGCTGCATTCTCCCACTTGGGGTTGCCTTCCGCAACTTGATCCGCTTCAAGCAAAGCCTTCTTGAAATGAATTGGAAGACCCATGTGGGCGGTCGTTGGGTGACCGTCACCTGCTGGCCGTGGGTGGTCGTTGCCCCCTTGCCAAGCTGGCAAGTCTCCCTTGGGACTTGTCCAGGCTTTTCAGCAAATGCTGCGGTATTCAAGCACATGCTTTGGAATCCCGTGTTCAATCAGCAAGTGCAAACTGGACATGGGAAAATTTGTTGGTCCTTCCCTCAGGCAAACGCTTCGACCAAAAGCTTCTAAACTTCCTTGAATCGACTTCGGAAAGACCTATGCCCAACACTCCAAGTGATCAAGTGATGAGCTTTACGGTTGGAACACTTTTGGCACAACGGTTCAACTTGTCGGAGCTTCTGAGAACCCAACTTCAAGAAGGCCTTCCGCACCAAGCCAGGAACAGCATACACTCGCACGCGCTTTGCTCAATCTAAACCGGCAAAACCGAATGATGCTTACAATACCGAATGATTGCAGCATAGACGGCTCAGCCTTTCACACCTGATATGCTGCTCCCTAAATAAAGCAGGCTCGCCCAAGTACTGGCAAGGTGATTCGAAAAAGGGGCATAAAGTTGAACTGTTCTAGGTGCAAACAATTTCCAATGCACACCCGTCCAGGCTCCGGTCATGTGGATGCTTAAGGTCTTTCCTATGTGAAACGTCGAAGTACGCGGTAGTGAATCTGTTCGCGGGCATGACTCAAACCGTGAGAGCGTGAACCCAAGTTTCTGTGCAACCGAAAAACAGCCACAACACCCGGCATTTTTGGGCGATCGGCTTATCGGGTTGACGAGGCACGGCCCAGCCGGTCGTGCTGATGCAGTGCAACCGTTCGCGGCCAAAGCAGACTGCCAAGGCAAAGATTTTGTCTTGGCGGAGGACGTTGAGCAAGCATATAGGCACGATCAGATTTGTTGCAGAAAATACTGGTTTAGCGTTTTGAGTGCCATTGTGTGTGCTGCTTGAAGCTTCACTTCCCAGGCTAATGCTGGCAGCCCGTGAAGAGGCCTGTGACCCAAAGAAACCACTCATTGGACCTGATTGGAACATATTGGAACACCCTTTTTCAGGGCCAAAGCTTTGACCTTGCTACGTTCGTAGCTACTTGTTACTAGTAATGGCCTCCAACCTACTTGCGATGGCCTCCACATAACTTTAGATTTACTTTCCTCCACTTATGCCTTGGCTCTATCGTCCTTGCTTGCTTCGCACTGCTTCCTTCCAGTTGTTGTGTTGCGTTTTTCCCGCACAGTTCTCAGGTAGACACCCCGAGCGTTAAAAAAACAGGAGTGACTGCTTCCTGCAGGACGTGCCAGAACCAACCGTGGAGGCAACTGCGCCAGTGGATGATGGCGCAGATGATGATGGTGCTGGGAGCACCCAGCGAAAGGCCTGACACCCTTGGACTTGAACAAGTTCAATTGTTGTGTATTTTGACCACAAGTGTTTGTTCTCTGGTTACTCTGGTTATTTGTTGCAAAAACATGGACGACCCATCGTTGTTAGATGTTATTTATTAGGTTGGAGGCCATTGCTATTACTTTTCTTGAAGAGCTGAAGGGAACCAATTCCAAGAGACAGGCCTTCCAGACTTGCCAGACAACGCCGCTGGGTATATGTTTGTTGCGATTTCTACGGATTTGTACGGCCCTGGGAGCGTCACAATTGCCTTGTCGGTTCAAGGCAGTGACAGAACATCAAAGTGCAAATTCACTATATCCTGATATATCCTGCATGTAATAGTGTGAGGATTCAACTTCAGATTTTGATGGAGTGGGATTCAGTCGTAAAATGACTCGTTTGGAGATTGACATTGGACGCAGCGCAGAAGTCCGGTCCAAAGACGTGTACGGAGAGTGTCCCACACCCGAGATGGGTTGAGGGGAGCAGATCCGCCATGCTGGGCCACTTTCTTTGTGGCAACTTCTTGGGCCATTTCGATGATCAACATGAGTCGCCGCCGGTCACTGGGCCAAGCGCAGAGTGACCAGAGTGACCAAATGAGGCTGATCCGCCATGCAACAGGCATGCTCATGGGCATGCTCATGGGCATGCTCATGGCATGCCTCTTCTGCTCTACTCTACAACTTAGGAGTATTGTATTGCTGATAATATTTATGAAATATCTCGATCCATCAAAAACCCGTATCTCCCCCTCCCCTGCTCTCCGCGTTCCATCGGCGGAGGTGTGTGTGATGCCTTGCTTCTGAGGCCAGTGATCCTTCTGAGTCGGAGAGCGAAAAGGACCTCTACATGCCCAGAGACGCTTGGCGCTGTCTACAGGTCGCTAGGGTCGGAAGGGGCACGAGACAGAAACAGGGTCCGTTCGTTGGGTGTAAAATGGCAACCAAAAAGGGTGTTCTCTGCACGCGGGCAATATCTGTCTACACATCCCAGTCATTGGCTTCAAAACATCCCAGTCGTCTCATCGGATGGTCTGCCCTCAGGACTGTGAGACTCCGGCAGGCAAAACCAAAAAGACGTTCACCTATGGCCGTGCCGGGCGTGACTGGAACCAGTACCGCATGCCCATTGTCGTGGAATCCCGCATTGGAAAGGACACTGTAGTCACTGAAGTAGATGCACAGAGAATAATGTGTTTCTCAGGTGATTCTCTCGCAGTAGTACTGTAGTTATTGGTTCTATATAGTTCTAGCATGTTCTAGCATTCAGAGTCCTTACTTCTTCAAATGTTCTTACTTTTAGGTTGGAGGCGATTGCTACTAATTAGGCTGGACGTCATCGCTAGTAGGTTAGAGGCCATTCCTATTGAGCAGAGGCCATGGCTATTACTCTTCTTACTCTTCTTGTTTGCTATTAGAAACAAGTGCATCGCTACTAGTAACAAGTGCCTTACTAGTAGTAACAATGCTTGCTATTAGAAACAACTCTTCTTACTCTTCCTTCAAGCTTTTCCTTTCGCGAGCGGAAGTCCGAAGTGCCCAGCTTCGACCAACTCCAGTCATCCAATGAGCTTGAAGAAGTCCAATATCTTAATTAACCTATTGCTTTCTAGGCGGACGCAGAAGGGCTCTAGCCGTTTGCATGACTTAGTTCCTAAAGTTTTAGGAAGCTATGGGAAGCTTATATAACCTTTCGACCATGTTCGACCTGTTTCCTTCCTACTTAGTTTCCTTTCCTTCTCATGTTCATTGATTTTCTCTTCTTTCTTTTTTCTCTATGTTCTTTTCTTCTGACGGTTTGCAATGCTTTTTTACAGGAGGTGATCCGCTCTCAATTTGTGGGCATCCGCGTGACGCGACGGGAGTTGGCTCCGGGCATGGCCAAGAAGCTGGCACAGGTGGACGTGCACACCATCGAGATCCTTGGCATCCTTGGGCTTTGCCTTCCTATGTCTTGTGTTGTGAGCACAGCTGAGTCGATGTACTCCTTGGTGTCTCCGAGGATCATTCAGTGCAAGCTGAAGGAGGAGAGTGGCCACGTGCTGCATGCTTTATGATTTTTGCTGGTACAAAAAACATCTATTGCTGTGGTTTCATCTTCGTTCTGACCTGATATACTTCCAGGAGCCTCCTCTCAGTGAGATGTCTGTGGTCGTTCTGAAGCTCTCACGCAACGAGCTCACTTGCTCCTGGGTTTGCACGGCGGAGTCAGCACCACTCGGAATCCGCAGCACTCTGGCCAAACATCACACAAGTTGAAACAAACCAGGCTCCAAATTGCTTTCCTTTTTGTTGTGACCACCCTCCCCAACAGCTGTGAGTGGTTATGGGCCATCTCCTTTTTCGGGACGTGATGGCACGAGCTGCTGTTGCGATCTAGTTTCCGAACATGCACGATAAGAGCAACTGCTGGCGAGATTCTGCGAATATCAAGAGAGCACCTGCTTCAACACTCCCATGGAGTAGCTTCACACGATTCCTATGGCCTCCTAGGCCTCAGCCGGCCGGAGAAGCCCAAGGAAGAGCAGAAACCGCTTCCTGGCCAAAGTACTGCCACCTTGACAAATATATCCGAGAGGGAGAAACAGTGACCCCAAAAAAAGGAACAGCGTGGTCGTTGTTTGGCGCATTTGAGGCTGCGCCTGGAGACATTCGCATGTGACCGAAACAAGCTGCAGCAAGTGGAACCAGGCATGTGACTCAGGGTTTTTTGCGTTGGGCTCTTGTTTTGTATGGTGCCTTTCTCATAGCTGTTCGGACGCACCGTGATGAATCTGCATAGCATGTGCACCTATCAGACCTATGAATCTCATATTCGCTGCAACACACGTACCTATTTGATGAAAGGAGCCCTCTCTGAGAAGCTGGTTGCCAGCCTGCAGGCAGGGATCATGATTTGCAAGGAGTTTCACTGTGCTTGGAGTTCCATAATATAGTGATTCTTCCCCCTGCATTTCTTCGCTTTCCTTTATCCTTTTCCTCTTGGGAAGAAGAAAACAAGTTCCTTCAACGAGAACATGTTCGACGTGTCCTTTTTGAATCTCCTGAGGTCTTGGACCTCTCACGGAATCAGCTCTCCTTCCTTCCGGGGGACTTTCTCTCTGGAGCCCGACAGCTCCGGTATTTAGACCTCTCTCACAACCAGCCGGGAGCCTGAGACATGAGAAGACCAATAGAATGTTATAGAATAGACATATTTACATATATATGTATCTTACTATTATTTTTGTGGCAACTTATTGCAAAATATCTAATTTGTTCGTTTCACTGAGTCCGTCCAGATCCGCTTGCGGTTCGCAGAGAGCCAAAAGCACGCAGATGCAGACCGGATTTGTTGCGGAGATTGGTAAAAACTGGTGGCATAGACTGGCGAAACAAACACCTGCAGACTTCACTACTGAGGCTCTTCTCCCTGCCAGATAGCATTTTGGGATGCCGAAGGCCACTCGGTGCCTCGAGACAGGAGAAGCAAGTCGATCGCTCTACTTGGACGCTACATGACGCTACTGTAGCCGCTACCTTCTGTGAATATTTTTGGATCATTCCAACTAGGCTCTAGACTCTGGACATCTTTGGACCTATCGTGAAATCAGATTCTAATTGACTCACACAGGCACTCATACAGGCGCTCTGAAACAGATTAGGGTGGCGGTATGCTTCTTGCTTGGCACATCAATCAGTTGCATCCACCCCTGCGATTGCAGTAGCAACAGTCTTTACTCAATTGTTTTGTCTTTGGTGACTTATATACATTTGACTATACTCAACTCCCATGTCTTGCAGAAGATTTGAGGCTGTTGATCCTCAAGGTGGATAGCAATGAGATCGAGCAACTGCCCAACTCTTTTGGGCAGTTTCTTGGAATGCGAAGGTTGAATTGCTCGGATACAGAGGCAATGATTGGCCTTCTTGACCCCAGAGCAAGTTTCGGTTTGAGGGGTCAAGATTAATCTCTTTTCCTTTATGTTTAATCTCTTTCAATCTCTTTCTCTTGTTCTATTTCTCTACTTCCGTCTCTGTCTCATTTCGTTGGGAACAAGAACACACTGGGTTAGTACCTTTTTGTGAGGTTGAGGGGGCTTCGAAAGCTCACGGCCTCCTACAACGCCTTGACTCAGCTGCCGGAAGACATTGGAGAATGCAAGCTCTTGGAGAAAATCCGCGTGGTCAACAACCAAATCACGGAACCTTGGTGGTTGCCATGTCTTTCTTCGCCTGAGCTTTTTGTTGGTGTATTGAATCGAACCTTGGATTCTCATCATAACTCCAACTAAAACCACCCTTCACACTTTGGGTTCAACCACAATCATGTCTCGAATCGCCACTGTGGCGGCCAATGCCAAATAATGAAGTGGCATTCCCTCGGGAATTCTACATTGTCCATGAGTCCATACAAATTTTGTGCAAAAAAAGATGTGATTTGTTGAGACATGGGTATTGGACAATGTGAAGTCTTGTTGAGAACCGAAGAAGTTCAGGTAATGCCGCATAGCCTTTTGCAGCTGTGGAAGCAGAAGGGTGGTGCATTGGAAGAGCTGCTGGTGGATGGCAATCCCCTGATTCAGCCAAGTGTCCAAGCAGCCATAGGTGTACTGAAGACTCAAGACTCAAGCAGATTATTGAAATCATTGTGTGGACAAAACCATGGAGGGCAGGATTGACATTTTGCGTCCAGAATGTGCAAATTCCCTGCATCAATAACAGTGCAAAAGGGGCGTGGGGTCAAAGGCTTGGATGTTTTGAGATTTTATGAGGCTACTAGGGGCTCCTGGCCATACTACTAGGAACAAGAAGCTACTAGGGGCTCCTGGCCATACCACTAGGAACAAGAAGCTACTAGGGGCTCCTGGCCTTACTACTAGGAGCAAGGACGTTACATTCACCGTAAAATGGATGCTTCACGGTTCAGCAGGTTCTCAGACATTCGCAAATAAGAGAAAAACGGATGCAGACTACAGAGAAACCCAAATTGGCACCACGCAACCGTGAGGCTCCTGAAACCCTAAACCCCAAAGCCTTAGTTTTTCGATCAGGGATGCTCAGTGTGTACGGTCCTGGTGCAAGTTCTACTACCCATGCACAGTAGAGGATCGTCTCTCGTGGTTTGACCGAGCCTTTTCGCCTAGGCATCACGGCCTTCCAAATGGGTGGCCTGGACCAAGCACTGCGGCTCTTTGGTGAGTGGGTGGCCATGGAGGCAAGATCTATCAGCTTCTTCATGCTTCTTCCACGATACCCGATTCATCCAACTGAGGGCCTCCAACCTACTAGCAATGACCTCCAACCTACCAGCGATGGTCGCCAACCTACTAGCGATCTATGTGTCTATGCTGGCTTCCCCAAGTGACTTTGGACTTCAAGAAGACTAAGTGTTGGTTGAATAGCGAGCTCAATACAAAAATAAGGGGTTCTTTATTCAAGTAATAGCTTGATGGAAGATCTTCGTTTGACCGGATATACAGTTGTGTTCTTCCGGCCAGACAGCACGTCAATGTGTGTCTGCCTGTTCGCAGGAGTCTCAAGAAGCTGAAGACCAGGTCGCCCCACTACCAGAGGACCGATGGAGCCATTCTCACTGCAACCGCCCTACGGTCCGAAGGATTCTGAAGATTTGGTCACCCCATCTTGGTCTCCAGAACAGTGGGCGAAGGCGGCAGTTGAAAGTGGAACTCCAAATGTGACAGGAGCTGGTGACGACAGTAGAGGAGCAGCATCGCTCCAGTGTGACGAGTGGGAGGGATTCTGCTTTCTTGCGCGATTCCGCTGTGATGCGGGACTCCATGCGTGAGTCGATACTCTTCGCAGAGGCGAAGCACCTGGCACCTGTGAAGCACCTGACTGGCTTGTGTCAACATTAATCTATATCAAATTACTTCGTCTTAGATCCAAAGTTCTGGTCATACAGAGTGCCAGTTCCTTGTGCTGCTCTGTGCTAGTATGTGCCGGCAACTTGCTTGCTCAGTTCCTTTCATCGCAGGTCGATGAGGTGTCGTCCGTGGCTCCTTCCAGTCGACCTGACCGTCCCGCGGGGGATCAAGACGTACCTGGGCAGAGTTTGTAACAAGAAGCTACTAGGGGCTCCTGGCCTTACTACTAGGAGCAAGGACGCTACTAGGGGCTCCTGGCATCACTACTAGGAGCATTCTTGCTTCTAGTAATATGTATTATCAGCAAAATCGGCGCTTGGTCCGTTGCTTGAACCGAGGAATTTCATCTAGAGGATTTGGACCTGGAGGTGGTCCAGGTGATCGAATCAGGCGAAACCCAGACAGGATGGAGGGAGGGTGAATCAGATATGTCAACTTGTCAAGAATTTGTGTTTCTTTTGTTTTAAAGCTCTATGTTCTGCGTTTCAGGCAAGCGAATGTCGAAGTTCACAATGTCTCAGACCGACTTCGATCGCCTTCAAGAACGCTGCAGCAAGTCACAGTCGGACGACCAGCTCGTGACTTGGAACTGCCAAGGCCTCCTTTCAACTCCTTTTGGCTAATTAGGCAAGTAGAAACAAGAAGCTTCTAGGAACAAGTGCATCGCTTCTAGTAACAAGTGCCTTACTACTAGTAACAAGAATTAGTAGAATTAAGTCTAATTAGGTGACCGAGGTTTGGTGCCTATTGCACTTAACTCTAATTACTAAGCTTTTCAACTCCTTTTGGCTAATTACAAAATGCTTAGTTTGTTCTTCGACGTGCTTAGCTTGTTCCTGGTTTGCTGTGATGTTCGATGCCTTCCGAGGAACCTTACTACTTTTCGCACGTACAGGGTGACAGCAGCGAAATCCATTCTATTCGAGTCTTGTTGCGGAGGGCAATGGGAAGGAATATAGATGGTGTAATTCTACAAGAAGTGCCTTACTCCTACTCCTTGATGATTGTTTCATGGGGCCAATGCCACAATGGGTGCTGCACTTTGAATTGAGCAAGCTTGCGACTTGCTGTCGCCAAAGAAGAGGCTTTGGTATCACTTTCCTGCGACATGGAATCCCTAAATGTGGTTCGAGATGCTCATTACCTGAAGTTCATCCAGTGCAGTTGCACCCAAGAAAGGAATCTACCATAGATCAACCTTTCTCAAGGAAGCGCCGAATCTGCACTTCTTCTGCTGAAGAAGCGTATCTCGGAGAAATGAGACACATGGATGAACAATGATCATGGGTTCAAGGCCAAGCCGTTCCTTGTGAGCTTACCATCTAACAGTTGGCAAAATGCCTCAATCAATGAAGGTCTTCACGATTTTTGAATGCAAAGACGCCTGCAAGTCATCGGTGCTCCTTTGGATTTTCCTCCTTTGCACCCACAGACAGTCAAGCGGACATGGAATGTAGGGAGGGCATGTGGATGGCGTTTCAAAGACCCTAGTACTACTCGACACAGACCGACGGAAAGATATTTCTCATGTGCAACATGAGCTTTATACATCTTTGTTTAGAAGTGGGTCCCCACCAGACTGTGGTGATTCTACAAGGCAGCGCTAGGTTGGCGCTAGCGCGGCACTAGGTTCTCTGTGATATTACCACGATTAGGCATGTGTGTGTGTTGCCCAAAGATTTCGGACAATGAACTTTTCCTTCTCATCATCTTCTTTTTCATCTTCTCCTCTCTTCTTAAGTCCTCCTCTCTCTCGTCACGTCCTCACTCCCTCGCCCACTCGATTATCAGCAAACTTTTGCGCTAGCTGCGCGCTACTGTAGCTCCGCGCTAAACGACGGTCCACTTCGTGTAAGTGGAGGGTACTTGGTACAGGGCTCATCTAATTTTGATTCATTTTTACTCCGCAGGGAAAATTGATGAGGTGACTTTTTTTATTGCGCCAGGTTTAGGTATCAGGGGCATTCAGGTGTGTTGCGCCATCTATGCGCCCCGTGGCTAAAAAACAGGAAGATTCTGCATGATTTTGTGCGCTATTTTGCAGAAAATAGCGGAGATTGGGACCGCTGCCCCACCGCAAAAGGACATCAAAAGGAAACAAATAAGTTCAAGAGGCAAGAGGAAATCAAGAAGAAATATGAGGAAATCACTATTGGTACCGGGCCACACATTTCCCTGATGTCGTAGGTAGTACTGTAACAGTGATTTTTACAGATTTTTACAGTACTTACTGTAACACTCTTCTTCACAGTATAGCCAGATTGCAGCCGGCAGGCCAAATGTACAGAACTTGGCCATTGGGCCATCTATAGGCCCCAAACGTTTTTTTGGGAAATAGGGAAAACTAGTATCCGCACAGACACCCCGCAGAATTTTAATTTTCTGCAATCCAAAGACCAGTTGCGCCATCTATGACGGCCAAATAGCGAGAAAAAGGAGTTACATGGCGCGGCTGTTCCCGCTATTTGGATTTTTGAGTTGCGCCAACAACTTTCTCCCCGGTGTAGATATTTTTAGCAACATGAATTCCTTATGCTTGCTGAAGCTCTGGGTCGGCGGGGTTGACGCGATTGTTGTTGAGTCCAGCGGCAACAGCAGCAGCCACAGCTGCAGCTCCAGCAGCTCCAAAGTCTGCGTTAGCTACTGTACAGTTCTGTAAGTTCAGAACCCTGCATGTGTAAAATTAAAAGTGCTTCTTATACAGCTATGGTTGAACAAATTTCAAACATATAAGAGACTTAGAAGAGAGCCTCACTGCAAAAACGGATACCCTTCTATAATTACCTTCGACCTCTTCGTTTCTTCACTTCGTTTGTTCTCGCGAACGGCTCGCTTGAGGCTATTTCGTGCTCCGGCAGCAGGACATAGCCATGGAGCTGACGAAGGCTGCGGGCGATGATGCTGAGGCCCTGGAGAGAGATGTCACTCCAGCCACTTGGCATTTTGAAGGTGAATATGATGCTGTAATTTGGTTCCTAAATCTTGGCAACTTAACTATGTACGTGAAGAAAATTGGATGTATACTGATCAAGATTCGTGCGTTTAGCGTTTCACAGATCTCATCAGTTCTCAGGAACTCTGGGAATTGTTCCGTGCAGAGTTTGATCCTATGAAGTACAATGGCAAGGTGCGAAGTTGATATAAACATGTTTCACTTCAACTTTCGGAGATCCAATGCCATCAATGCAGGTACCCATCCAAGACTTGGACTTGTACTTTTGCACATTGGTCTATGGAATCCTTGCTGAGCATCAGGTTGGATTAGAGAATGCATTCGTTTCTGGGAATTGAAGGTCTTCTTCTTGCACTTACATAACATCTTAAACACCCTAGGGCCCTAGGAGCAAGGACGCTACTAGGGGCTCCTGGCATCGCTACTATAGGA